GTATCCTAAATAAAAATTCTATTAAATTTGGCGGTATCCATAACAGACATGTACTGTGGAAAGCTGTCCATAGGTATCTTTCCTAGTGAGCCAAAGCAGACTTAGCCAGACATACACCAGAAGGGCATTTTAACGACTTTGGTAAGTGGTGCTATAACCAAGCATATAAATACTTCCTGTGGGGTTTTTATCTCTGCAGACTTCTGAAACAATACTAAGTCTTTTCTTTTTCTTTGGCATCAATCCAACAAGAATGTAAATAGTTGTACTTATAAATTTGTTATTATATGTTTATTCATGTTTCTAAGTGTTTGCAAACACTTAAATGTTTGCAAACATATAAAGAAATCACCTGCACTTATAAAAACATTTTCTATGTTCTCCGTATTTCCACTGTATCTAATACAAAGCCAAACACAAAATGACGGTGAATGATTTTGCTGACAAGGTAACTACACTGCTGAAAATTTTTAATTAAATAAATAATTTTCATTTTATTTGTCCTACAATATTATAATATTTTCTCATTTCTTAGCTGATATATAGCTAACAAATTGTTAAACCAAATACTTGTCAGTCCACACAAATGCCTCATTTTCTCTTCTTATGTAACCAAAATTAACCTCTGTGCAAAATCAAGAGTTTTAGATCCAAAAAATCTCTAGCTTTTGAGATGTATAGCTCAGCGGGAGAACGTTTGACTATAAAATCTCTGGTAATATATTTTTAAGTGGGCACACCATTAATAGGATACTTAAAAATAGCAACCCCCTCTGGAATTATAGAGAACATGTTCCTCAAAAAATGTTTTTTAAGCTAGTGTTATTTTTCCTACCATTATTTGCTTGCTTTTTCAAAATTCCGGTAAAAAAACTCAAAGCCCCGCTACCCCAAAAATAAAACTCAAGTCGAAAGCTAAATAAAGTAATTCCTCTAAGACATAATATTTGCTGAATTAGTAAATGCAAACGTTCACAAATGATCATAAAAATTAATCAAGCTTAATACAAAAGGAGAAACTTTTAAAAGTGAAAGTATTAAATGATTTACCAGTTACTTCCTTAGGATGTTCATTTTCACTCTGTACAGAAGGTGGAGCCAAAGACATATGTATCCACTGGCTTAGAATTCTTACCCTTTGAACAAAACAAAATAAAAATTCTTCCCTTGACACAAACTTCTTTTGTGTGTACCTTCACAGTAAGAGGCACTTGGAGATAAATTGGGCTACAGAATGAGTTCAGATTTTACTTAGTTTGAGACAAACTTTGATCTTTAAATCTCTCTCAAGGATGACAGAATGCTGAATAAATGGGAAACAAGGTTCAGTTGAGCGAATACTTTGGAGTTACAGAGTATATTGGAAGAACCCAGAAATATATCTATTGAAAAAAAGATTCTGGTGCAAGTCAGTAATATGAATGGGGAATCTTCATTCACTAAATAAAATACGGCTGATCAACAGTCATTTTAAGAATGCATCTTCTGTCTGGTTTTCCAGTGTGGGTGCAGTATTTCTAACCCTACATACTATTGGATTCCCAATTAACTTTTTCTTTTTCCCTACTGTATAATAAACATTAAATAAAAATGGAAATTTGGTTCATAGAAAGTATTGTTCTGATGCCAATGAAAGGCAATCCGTAAGACAATGCAATCTCGTTCCATCACAAAATAATTTTAGACCCTCCCAGTCTCAGGTACTCTTTTTATTCTACCCTGCTTTGGGATGTCTCGGAGGTACCACTTTTCAACTCTGCTCAACTGTTTTTCCCTCAGAGTCAGCTAGTAACCCCACCTTCTCTACTTATGTTGGCTTTAAACCTTGCTTCCTAATGCCCATACTCTCCAACTCAAAACATTTTTTCCCCTTTGTGGTCTGCATTCACTCTAGTGCTAATGGAATAACTATCTTTTTTTCAAAGTTAAGACACCTCACTGTGCTGTGGTGATATTGTTCTTACAAACAAGCCTACTTGTGGCCATTTAAATACCCTTCTCTCTTCCAGAGTCTACCTTGCCTTTTTTTTTTCATTCTTTTTCTTTGATTAAATGAGAGAATCTTCTGAAGGTATATGTATGTGCTATTTGGGGGGGCACACTGCTTCAGCCTCTCTCTCAGTGATTTTATCTGTGTCTGTGGTTTTAAATATCAATTCTATGAGTTCATATTTGAGTTCATCCCACATTTTACAATAATTTTAATCTAAACTCCACGGTCTGTGTGTTGCCATTTTTTACCTAGCTATTTCAGTTCTTCATACCAAGTGTTCCAAATTGAAATCATTAACTCTCTTTCAGCCCATCAATTCTGAGAGAGAGAGAGAGAGAGAGAGAGAGAGATTAGAGTTGTTTCACTTAAATTGGTGCACTCACTGGTTGATCCTTGTACGTGCCCTGACTGAGGATTGAACCCACAACCTTGGTGTATCAGGCTGATGCTCTAACCAACTGAGTTACCCCTGCTGGGGCAGTTGTTTTTCCTTTAACTTTCCTTTGCAGTTTTTAAATTATTATTTTTTAAGTTTATACTAAATATTGTTTGTATTAGCTTCAGGTGTACAGCATAGAGGTCAGACTTAACAAAGTGTTTCCCCTGATATTTCCAGTACCCACCGGGCACCATACACAGTTATTACAATGCAACTGATTATATTCCCCGTGCTGTACTTTCCATCCCTGTGACTATTTTGTGACTACCAGCTCGTACTTCTTAATCCCCTTACTTTTTTCACCCACTCCCTCAACCCCCCCCCCCAGCAGTTCTGCAGTTTTGTTTACTCATTTGAAATTAGGAAGATTGTGTGAAGGTGGGAGATGGAAAGGTGGGACTGGATTACATGATAAAGATTATTTGCTCTTTGAAGGTTATCTTAGAAGGAGGGGTCTGAGAGAGTGATTAAAGAGGCATTTCGGAAGTGTGTTAACCTAGAAACAACAGCAGCTTAACCTAGCAGCTTAAGAAAAAGGTAAACCTTTTACTAAAATTATTCGCCTACCCAGTCAGGAAAAGATGATTTATTACAGCGCATCTTTTCTTCCCACAACCATTACAAAATTCTCCTTTATAATCTCCCTTCTTCAGTCCCTCAATATTTTTGAATGTTTATTCAAAATTAAAGTCATCGAAATGAAAGGAATCCACCAGAGTTTGTGGGCGACAGGCATTTCAGCTCCTTATAAATTCATCCATTTCTTACAAGTCCAGAAACTGATATTCTGACACAAAGGTAAAAATCCAAAACTGCAGTGGGTTCTCAGATGAGGAAATTCTGAAAAAATTCTGCAAAAGAGCCTTACTTCTTCATGGCACCACTGACGTGCATTTCTGAAGGCAGAGAGCACCACGTGCGGAAGAGCCTGCGGCCTGGCTCAAGGTGGTGAGAAGGGAACCATGCAGAGGGTGAACTGTACGTGGCCGCCCTCATCTCTCCTGGGCAGTGTTGCCTGAGGAGCAAGTCAGGCTGATCCCTTTCTTCTGCACCGACAGGCCTGGCCATGGAGGCGATACAGTCTGGGGGAAGTCAATGTTGATATTAATGAGATGGCATTGGCATTTCGGTGGGCATGATAAAAACATTAAAAAAATTTTTACCCCACAATTTTTGTAAAACATTCCAATGGAGACAGGGTTCTAAAAAAATAATCTTCAAAATAGTAAGTCAACAAATGAGATAATTACTTTATCTCTTAACACGACATTTCAAAAGGTCTTTTATTAATAATTTTACTGCAATTATATTTAGAGAACAGTATCTACCAGAAAATATTTGTCCATCTCCTCCCCTCCCCCACCCCCCGCGATATTTGTATCAGCAAGAAAAACATAAGGAATACTAAGCCAGGGTGAATCTGCTTTCTTCCCAAAGAAGACCGACCAAGAGATGTCCCTGTCCATCTTTGGGAGCATCACTGAGGCCTGTTTATAGGGAATTTTCCTGCCTCTGCCCTTTCCCGTGGTATCTGCAGAGTCCTCAGAGGAACTGCCCTCCCTAACAAAGGGGCGACATGACTCAGGCCATTATCCGCCCTAACACAGGGTGCTGACCAGGAAGAGACATGGAAATGGTGGAAGGAGAATAAAAATGATATGCTCAGCTCCACTGCCCCTGGGCAGAAAGCTCTCCAGCAGGTTTTAGAGGAGACGATGGTCTCCAGGAGGTTTGATGGTTTGGGGACCCACTTAATGCCCATTCATCATACCAGTATTTCATAAAAAAACTATCCTGACATTTCACTACAGAACAGATTCGGTTTCTAGTGCCTTGACCTGAATGGGGCTGAGATATTTTAAAATTCCAGTTCCCTTAAGATCTCACAGAGATACATCAAGATTTCACAGTAAAAAATGTACTACATATAAACAGTTATAAATGTAAATATAGTTTTTGCCAAACTGAAGGAAAGAATAAAAATTCAAAGCAGTCAAACGGTTGGAAGTTACATTTGGGGTGGGCAAAGCAGCCCATTTGTTCGTTTTTGAAATCTTTTCTCTGGTCTCTTTCCCACCCTCACCATTTCCTTTGTTAATTGTCCAGCAAAAAGGAAGGAATTAGATCACATATAACTAACACCGACCTTTTACTTCACACACCTTGGCCAGTATGAAACAACTCCGCCCTGCAAGGCTACGCTCTTTTCCACCATTTTTATTCACTGGAATATATACATTTTACTTTAGAAAAGTTTGTAGCATTATAAAGTACACAACTTTTTATTATCTCTGGACTTTTGGCGGAACATGCACTAACTAAAACCAGTCGTTGTTGTCTGTATAAAGAGTAACTACAAGCAGTAGCATTCACGTCTCTAACGCTTTCATTTCTCTCATCAGCAAATTTAAGCTACAACTTCATCTCGACCTCGCTGCTCCCCGGCTCCCCCACCCATCCACGTTCCTTCTCCTGCTCTCCACTCCTCTCCCCGCCTTTCCTTGTCCCCTCCCCTTCCTTCTCGCCCCTCCTCCTGTTGAGTCAGTGGCTTGAAAATTTAAAAGCTCTGTGCTCCAAGTTAGAAAAAAGTTTTTACGAGGTACCAGCACTTTTCTTTCATTAGGGTAAAGGAGTGAGGAAAGTACCAAACAGCAGCAGACTTTTAAACTTTAAATATAAGCAGGTCTGAGTGACTGAACTTGCTTATTCATTTTACTTCACCCTCTAAGGAGTTCAATCAGTTGGAGTGCCTACTTCTTTTAAGAGGAAGAGTAAGTTTAAAATTTTTTACCTATTCTTTTCTTTTTCTACAAGTAAAACTTTTCTCAAGTTTTTGTGTTGTATGAATGTACCTTTAACATGACAATGTAAACGTAATGATGAACTTGAAAGTGCTTCTGTAGTTTTAAATATAGAATGTTCGGTGTTTAGTTTTTGGACTGTTAAAAACTTTTTATGCAACAGGTAAAATGAGATTCGGACCTTTCTGGTTAGAATAAAGTACTACTTTACTGGATGTTTGGTTCTTCATGTTAGAGTGTACTTTTACTTTTTTGTAATCAGTACTGGTCTAGGTGCTTTGTAAAGGGGGGTGGATGGATATTTAGAGGCCTGGGTGTGAATTTGACTGACAATGTCACAAAAATCAAAGTGCAAATTTGCTTAGCGTGCTTGCTGCAGAATTCTATACTCGGTGCTTTTTCATATGCAAATCTTGATTGATTGTTCTATAGCTTTGCAAAGCAAGCTTCTTAACAAAGTGCTTTGTTAAGACCTTGCGGTTACTTGACTTCCACGTGGTTCTTTCCTAGAATATCCCCCCGTAAACAAAAAGGTATTAAAAGTCAGTGTTGTAACGTTGAGGTTTTTAAAGCAACAGTAAAGAGCTAGTTTGTTTTTCAACCTCTGTGGAAAAACTTGAGACCCTGCGGAGAGCCACTTCTCTCTCCCCCGCGCTGGCCGTTCAGGAGTTGAAATCCCCTGAATGGGGGTGGTGGGTGGTTACTTGCCCAGCGTGGGGAGTTGGGGTGGGGGCAGACCTTCAGGAGACCGTGCGCGCCACGGTGCGTTTCCGAAACTATCTCCGAAAACCGGAGCTCCTAGAAAGAACCTGAGTGGAAGTGTGTCCAGCAGCGCCTTGGAGGGAGCGAACACCGCCCCCCCCCCCCCCCCCCCGCCTTCTGGCGGAACCTGCCGCCGACTTCTGAGACCTGGGAAACGCTCGATGGGACCTGCCAGCAGGCGAGGGTTCCGCTGCTTTGTCACTTAAAACAATTCGATGCATTAAATGCTCTTTCTGTTAAAACACATTCCGCGATAGTGTTCACTAAGGGTTTTTTTTTTTTCCGTTCTAATTCCTCAGACCAAAGTGGTTAGTTTAGATTCTTGGTATGAACCTGCAGTTTGAACTACTTGCACCGAGAATGCTGAAAAACATTAAAAATGAAAGCTTAGCGGAGGCCGGGAGCCGGGCGCGTCCCGCCGTCTCTGCGCCCGGCTCGCCAGGCTGCGGCGCGGCCCCGCCGCCGGGACGGGGGGCGCTCGGGGGGCGCTGCGCGGGGACCCCGCCAGCCACGCCGACCGCGGCGCAGGTCCGAGGTCCCCACAGGGGTGGGGGGTGGGGGGCGGGATGCGGGCCCAGCGGTGGGAGCAGAGCGGGTCGCTCACTGAGCGCGCCAGCCTCACTCCGAGCCGCTCGCCCCCACCCGCAGATTGTGTCTTTGCCCCCCGTGAATTCTCACTGGCTAAGCCCCGGGTGAGGAAATCCGAGCACCTTGGGAATCACCGTGCTTACATTGCACTTGTTAACGCTCCTGAAGTTCTCGAAACTTCCCAAGAATGTGAAGTGGGACGCGAAAGCGGGGAGTGGGGGGTGGAGAGGGGCGCGCGGGGAGGGGACCCCGGTAATGACATTAGGGAAGCGCCAGTGGCGCGCCCGGAGGCGATCCGGTGCAGGAGGCCGGGAACTCGAACCCGGGGCCGGCGCAGCGGCCGCCCGCGCTGGACTCCCGCGGGGCCCTCTGAGCACCTTGGACAAAGCTGATCCTCAGTGTCTCCTTCACATTCTAAGGCTTGCCTGTGTTTTTCTAGAAGTGCCAAGTGAAAGTGGGAAGAGAGAGCTATAAATTTGGAAAAGTAGACATGGCTTTACTTGGAGGTAGGCTTAATAAATTCTTTTGCTTTCCAAACCAGATTAGTAATGGGATTGTTAATTTCACTTTCCGGAAAATTGGGCAAATTTAAACTCAGTCAGAAGTGGCCTCCTGGCAGTTTAAAAAGTAGATGATGAGATTTTAAAAAACAACAACAAACCTAGTATTTACTTTTGTGCAAAGACTGCTGAAAATAAAAGCCTGTAAATTAACTTCCTCCCCCAGAATGAAATAAATCAGCTAGATACAAAATACCCCGGGGAAGAGTAAATTCTTCTAGGTAGGCCCAAGTGACGGACATTGCGCCGCCGGCAGGAAGTATTTTCCGTCCTGGCGATGTGTTGATTTTTCTATGGTGCTGAAGCGCGTTCCGCCCAACGTGTGATGCTTTGACATTCCCAAAGTCGGGGTGTAGTTGTAACCTGCCCTTTGCCTGGGAAATACAGTGGTAGTTAGTGCGTTGCTCCCACTTCCTCCACTGTTTAGATAGACCACATTTTTCTAATACCTTCTAAAGTTTATCAGCACGCCCTCCCCGCACACTCCGGTCCTCAGCCTCTGCAGTGGGATTCATTCCCACGGGCCTAGCTCAACCTGGGAATCGCGGGTCCTAAGACACCGCAGCACGAATCTGAAAGGGTGTGTTTTCAGATATTGACCAGTGCTTTGTTATTCAGATGTTTCCAATTCCTGAGCAGAGAAGGTTGGAAAACTCATGATAACAGGGCATTCCTTAGTTTCTCTTACATCATCCAGAGGAGTCTCTAGGTATGATGAGCCTCTGAGCCTTTCTTTGTATGTGGAGGAAAGAGGATGATAGGAAAGTCACCAGGGATTAATACGCTCCACCTTTCCTGTTGTTCTGACTGCCCTTCAAGATTCTCAGCTGTTTGAATATACTGCTGAAGCTTGTCCACCCATCATGTCAGCTCTAAAAAAAAAAAAGGAATTGCCTAGTGCTTATCATTAATGTCAATATTCAATATAGATAAATCATGTTAAAAACAATCCTCCAGGGTTTTTCCTCTGTGGGAGGTTAACTGATTTATTTTCTTGGACCCTTGGGAATAGCAACCTAAATTCTCCACCTTGCCTGTGTAAATTCACTGTTTTGCAGTCTATGTACAAATTATCTTGCCAAAATTAAAACAAACTATGGTGAGATATATATATACATACCTATATCTATAGTATGATAAACTGAATCAATGACTTTAGCCTTAAAAAGTTACATACTCTTCATCCAAATTTCGCTACCTTTCTAAGTAATTTCTAAAAATATGCTTTATGCAATGCTGGACATTTACAATAATATAATAATAGTGTTTAATTTGGGGGGAGGGAGAATTCCTGTGAACCAGGTACACTCCACAGGATATGCCTTTTGTTCAGTTTTGATGAGATGCCTCCAAACACAAAGAAGGCAAACTCCCCTCATGGTCCTTCTCCCTATCAACTTATAAAAGCCAAACTCTCACCAATCTGTATGGGCTGTAAAATAGTAACACAGCACTCATTATAAGAGCATCTTGAAAACTAATTTTGATTACCATTAGGGGAATGTCAATCATTTCTTAGTTGTTACTTTGATAAAGAAAAGATGCCAAAATTAGAAAATAGGTGAGCTGTATTTACATCTAAAGAGCTTCCCTAGCAAACCTTGACTGACTTCTTACTACGTGCTATATGTGCACGAGTTCTCGCATTCAATGCTTACTGAAGAAAAGAGACTGTTCCGAATACACTTGTGAGGGTCCTAAGGGTGTGTTTAAAGGAAGACACAATAACCAGGTTGTTCAATAAAAACAGTCAATTTGGAGGTGGGGGGTGCGTTAGGAACTAAGGGAAAATGTGTTTAAGTCCATCACTACAATAGAAGAATATGGCTTTTAGCCTGCAGCTTCTGACTTAGGGTGTTTCAGCTAGCACCCCTAAAGTGACCATGAGTCTTGTGCTAGTGGAGAGTTGGGTGGTAGTTGCTGAGCTAGAGGGGGATTGAATTTTCCCTGCCTGGCAGACATCACCTTCTCTTTGGGTGGAGTTCCTCACCCCTTAACCGCACCCCCATCATTGTTCTGTGGAGGCACATGTTGGCTGACAACGTGATGAAGGGGGTGAGGGCCAGAGAAAGGCCTGTCAGTGTGTGTTTCACCCTGGCAAAAACTCTGTGCAGTTCAGTGCCACGTATAACATGCCTGTGGAAATGTGACAGTATTACTCCTTACAAAGGGAACTGAAGGAGAATCAGGGAGCCGGAGGTGGAGTTTTAAAGTGAAGACATGTTTCCATAGAATGTGCCATACCACAGTTAAGGCTAACTGTACAGGTGTAAGGAGGCAAAGATGGCGTGTTTTCTGATGAACTGGGGTTGTTTTCCATGGTACATATATTTCACGTGACAGCCAGCAGAGAATGAGACCACAGTGATATTAATGTTAACCAGGGTGAGTATCAGATCTCACACTTCCTCTTCAATCCCAACCTTCACCCAGATTTGTCATCCTTGACATGACCAAAGTGTCATCAGGCTATTTCTTCTTGCAAGTGTGTTCTCAGTGACAGTAAGATCATGTGATACAAACAGAGTTAGAATATCACAAAAGTGGGGGACAACAATGATTTCTGTTATCTTTCGATCTTAACCTGTGACAACATAACATTGAAACTGAGTAAACATCTTGGATACAGGATGCAGTTATGGTCTGATAAACTCCGGGAGCTCTTAAAGAGTCTTATTTTTTAAATTCAGTCCTCTTGCCTGCTTAGGAATTATTTGAAACATGTTTCACCAGCTAGTTCAGTTTCAGCAATTGGCACTTGAAAATTTAATAGTATGCACACTATGAAATGCCTGCAATGCTTTTCTTTTTCTTTGAAAGTTTACTTTTACAACTAATTTGAAACTTTCGAAGTTTGGGATGCATGCACTGAAGAGAATGCCAAGGAGACTGTCAAATAAATAAATAATTAAAATGACGAGTTGGGGTTTTCCCCCCTTTTAGTAGGCTCCATTTAATTCATTCAAGAGACACTATTTCTTATAACTCTTTTAAGCACTGTGGGTACGCAGCATTGGACAAAGCAAATTCCTTTACCAAGTGCCTAGTCTTGTTGACAAAAGCAGATAGTAATAAAACCTGGTCATGGAGGGAGACGAACAATAACCAGGTGAACATGTCCTATGTGAAATAGAGCTAAGGGCCGTTTAAAAAAAAGCAGGACAGAGGGAAAACAGTAAGTGACAGGGCTGGGGGCTGGGGTGACAGCTGATGACATGTGACAAGAGCAGAGATCTAAAGCGGGGGTGTGAGCCATGCTGACAGGATGGAGGTGAGGAGGCAGATCAGCTTGTCAGTTTGTTTCTTCAGGATTCACTGTTTGAGGAGAACAGGGTGGCAAGCAAAGTTGACTAGGCTGCTGATGCGGAACATGAGGAGGTGGCTGAGGCCAGGGAAGCACAGGAATGGGGGTGAGACTCAGGGGGTGAGACTCAGTCGTAGTCTGGATTGTGGGGAGAAAGATGAACCTGTAGACTTTGTTGGCTGGTGGGTTGAAAGTGTGTTAATAATGACGTGTGGGTCTGAATATTACCAAGAGAACATCTGGCTGTTGTAACTGTTGAGAAATGGTCACAACTGAGCCCACCTGGATATTTACTGCAAAAGACAGGGGTACTTACAAAAGTTAAAGACGTTCGAGGGGTTTACGTTTTAGTCTTGGAGCTTAGAACTTTTTGGTCTTAGTATATTAGAAATGCACCCATGCCCTTTCTCTTTCCCCTAAGAAACATTAAATGGTGTTATCAGGGACATCCCTCATGCATTTTTAGACTTCATAATTTTATTCTTTCAAATATTAAGGTCTTCATTTTCCCGTTTTTTGACCACAAAAAGGTGATAGCTATCAAGTCTCACTTTAGTTTTCAACAATACTATTTACCTTTATTTTAGTTTAAGTCCCCACTCTCAATTCATTGTTTCTTCTTGGGTAAATCTTTAAAATTGGAAGGAAAATTTTCTAATTCTCCTAATAATGATTAGGACATTAATGAGATGAAGTTACTCAACTGCAGCTTTGGCACAGTGGCTTGTTTTTAAGGCTCTGGTGAAAGAGATGGTCCAAAGCAGTTTAAAATGGAAACTTTATTTTTATTTTGAATGAAGATTGGAGTCCATGAGCCCCCTTGGGAAGGAGCCGTGCTGAGTGACACGGACACAGGGGAGGAGGCAGGAAAGGGTGAGGCAGTTCCCGGGTGTCCAGACAACCCTTGCTCCTCCTCCTGCTTCCCCCTCCCCACCCCCAGCCTTTTTATACCCTCTGTGTCCCTTTCTGCTCTGTCCTGGAACAAGAGAGCACCACAAGGGTCCAAAGACCATTATTTATCTCCTGGCCTGAAACCTTACTTCAGAATCCACCTGGTGCGTTAAGAAACAGCTTATTTCCTAGTTCCTCCCTTTCCAAAAAATCAGATTCATTCAGGCTGGTGATGTTAGGAGTGCATGTTTTAAACAAATGCTGCCAAGTGATTGTGATATGTAGTTCAAAAGCCACACTAAAGAACTCAGAGGACCCTTGGGCAGGTCACACTTGGGTGCCTTTGGCTTTTGGCTTCTATTCTAGGTCACAAAGGAAGCATGATCTAACATGATACACATAAGACACAAGAAGGGGAAGGGCGGTCCAGCTGCTGGTAAGCATTGACTCTTAATGAGAACTTTGCACAAGCCCTTAACCTAGACCTTACTTAGTCTACATATAAAGTTCCAACTCTGGAACCCAGAGATAGAAGCATGGACATATGTGATATATGAGGTGTATACTCTGTAAATCAATGCCAGGGATTCTGTAAACATGTCCTTTGGCCCTTATAAAAGAACATTAATTTTTCAGCTAAAACTAGAAAAAAATGAAAATATTAATGGGGGCGATCATTTGACAGTTTGATTCACAACAAAGTGAACAACTGCCAAAAATTACTATTTTTGTTTCCTCGCCTTGAGATCACAAGCACAAACCATCACATTAAACATCTGATGTTCTCTGCGATAGTGGTAATGACAGGTGTCTACATGTTACAGGATACCAGGTGTCCGATGGGATAATCCTACTCAGATGAAAGAGTTTAACTCATTAATGCAAATGAAACTGTGTGGGTGTTTAAAAGGCAACTTTGCAATTAAGTTGGTGTGTTAATAAAGAACTATTACCTAGAGATTTGCTCGGTGACCTAATTCACATACTGTGGCAGTATGGGCTGTTTCTGTGGCACCTCAATCACATGAAAATAAAGTTTAAGTTTGAATAGAAGGTGAAAGAAAGTTAGTAGGTAATTGCCATAAGCATCTATACAATCATTTTACTTTGGATGATGATCATTCAACGTTGACCAAAGTGACAACTTCTATTCTTGGTCATATTTCTAAACACATTAAGTTTGTCTTGAGCTTGATCATTGTGTAAAAGTGATAGGTGTGCAAACAGTTCACCATTTTACACTTGAGTGTTTCTTTTTTACCTCCTGACCCCTGCCTCCCCCCCCCTCACCACAATGGGAATATCTGGCAAAAGCAGGTGACACTGGCAAACGATTATAATTCCTTACCAACAGAATCGGGTCCGTTTACACATCAGTACATAGAAACTGTCTATTGGTACAGCTTCAAAAACTCTGTTATGTTTGTTTGACCCTCATGGACTGTACTTTTTCGTTCCCAAAGAAGTGTTTTCTGCTACATTGCAGGGTTTTTTCTTTGACATTCTCTCACCATCAACCTGTTCTTCAGAACTAAAATACTCTCCCATTTTAAGGCTTCCCATGGCAATTTAACCCTGTTTGCCAAGCCTACAAGTCTTTGTTGTTGTTCGACTGCTCTTTTCATACCTCAGTTTTACTGTCTACCATGTGACTCCAGGATCTAAAATGGTCCTTCCTAAAAGTAGAAGGGAAGCTCCCTTTTTATGGCCACTGGGAGAGCATTATTTCTGTGACCCGCCCAGTCACCTCCCACGCCAACCCCAGCATTCTTTGGCACCAGTCTCTAAGCTAACCTTTAAGATGCCCGTTGTCTGCAAATTTAGAGAGCTTGTGCATAGTTTCGGCCATCTTTTGTTTCATTCAGGAAATCACAGGCCAGGTTTCCATTGCATTTTTTCTGGCTCTACAGCCTGGAAGTGCAAGCATTAGACAGAAACCAATGTTACCGTGGTGGAAAAGAAGGCGCCCCTAGATTTAATTTCTTTCCTCCAAGGAGAAGACGAAGTTCAAACACCCGATGAGAAAGGTCTTTATAGTCAAACAACGAACATAATTCTAAGAAGCCTATATAATCCTACTTTTAGTCACACTATTTAAAATTCATTACTAAGCTTCTGGAAAGTTTTTGCTTCACTTGTTTTTAATTATTAAATAATCTTTGACTACCTCATCCTTTCCTAAATCCCCCAATTACTACTCTTCTGAAAATTGGACTACATTCTCTATGCCTATTGCATGTGATGCTACTTACTTCTCAGCTTTTAGCCCGCACTAAGACTATTCATCAAAGCATGGACTCATTTCTAGCTGTAAGCCAGATTTATTCACTTTGTAACCAGTGTGACGCATTGGACAGCCTTGGGCATGGGATCATAAGTCTTCTTTTGGCTCTCCTGGTAGCTACATATTTCCTACACCTTTAAAACCTCAATTTTCATCAAGTAAACGAACCACTGGCAATTAGAAATATAAAGTGAAATAGATAAATAACTTTTGGGATACCTGCCATTTCTACAGACGTGAGTCCTTTTTCTCATCTCCAGTAATGGAGAAGTTCTAGGGTTAGGTAACTAGATACTGATAGGAAATTTAGAGATTGCATAGGCTGAGGGCCCAAAGCCCAGTAAGGGAATTTGAAATAAGTATACAGCAATAAAAGGGTGAAACTTAGCCATTTTTGCTAGAGACAAACCTTTAAAGTGGTCTTTTTAATTGCTCAAGCTATAATTGGAAAGGAGACAAAATAAACTTGAAATGCAACAGCATTTAGTTTTTATTTTTGAAAGTAGGTCCCTGCACATAATGACACATTGTGTCAAAATGGTGTGTTTCAGTACAAATTTTTCTTTGGCCAGAAGACAGACTTCTGAACCACATAAGTCACTGCTTACAAAGACAGAGAAGTCTAAATGACCACAATATACAGAATGCACAAATTGCATTGGAAATACCAAGAATAACTTCAGAATATAATTAGGAATAAAGGGCTGTATAATAAGATTGAAGTTTAGAACCAGGTTACATAGGTGTGCATCTGTGTGTGTGTGTTCATGGGGGTCCTCACCTCAACTCTTAGGTAGCAGGCTTTTTGAATAACACACATTGGCATTGTGCTTAGGCGTGCGTCCAGACACAGGCCTACCGAGCAAGAGCTGTCTTCATTTATCTGCCGGGTGAAGTAAGTAGTGGCACTAAGACAGAAGCTCCTTCAGTCACGTGCAGAGGCTGTGGATGAGCAGCTAATACATCTTCATGGATTAAGACTGCAGTTTACTTGGCACATAGGCTCTGCACAGTTGCTTCTAAATCTTACTGTTCAAGAAAATTGTAAGAGCTCTTTGTATGGGGAGGTTGCAGGGGAAATGTGGCAGAAGAGGTGACTTTTTTTGGCAGTGGGGGAGATCCCTAGAAAGATCTGGGACCTTTTTACAATATCTTGACTATCAGCTGAAAGAAACTATATATATTTAAGCTAATAATTTGCAGTCTATAATCATCCGGTTGTCTTTTTTTTTTTTTTCAGACGGCGCCCAGAAATCATGGGTGACTGGAGTGCCTTAGGTAAACTCCTTGACAAGGTTCAAGCCTATTCCACTGCTGGAGGGAAGGTGTGGCTGTCAGTGCTTTTCATTTTCCGAATCCTGCTACTGGGAACAGCGGTGGAGTCAGCCTGGGGCGATGAGCAGTCTGCCTTTCGCTGTAACACTCAGCAGCCTGGCTGTGAGAACGTGTGCTACGACAAGTCCTTCCCCATCTCCCACGTGCGTTTCTGGGTCCTGCAGATCATCTTCGTGTCTGTCCCCACACTCTTGTACCTTGCTCATGTGTTCTACGTGATGAGGAAGGAAGAGAAGCTGAACAAGAGAGAGGAGGAACTCAGAGTTGCCCAAAATACCGAAGGTGTGAATGTGGACATGCACCTGAAGCAGATTGAAATGAAGAAGTTCAAGTACGGTATTGAAGAGCACGGCAAGGTGAAAATGCGAGGGGGCTTGCTGCGAACCTACATCATCAGTATCCTCTTCAAGTCTGTCTTCGAGGTGGCTTTCTTGCTGATCCAGTGGTACATCTATGGATTCAGCCTTAGTGCCGTTTATACTTGCAAAAGAGAGCCTTGCCCACATCAGGTGGACTGCTTCCTCTCTCGGCCCACGGAGAAAACCATCTTCATCATCTTCATGCTAGTAGTGTCCTTGGTGTCTCTGGCCCTGAACATCATCGAACTCTTCTATGTCTTCTTCAAGGGTGTTCGGGATCGTGTGAAGGGGAAGAGCGATCCTTACCATCCTACCAGCAACCTGCTGAGCCCCTCCAAAGACTGCGGATCTCCAAAATACACGTATTTCAATGGCTGCTCCTCACCAACTGCTCCCCTCTCGCCCATGTCTCCTCCGGGGTACAAGCTGGTTACTGGAGACAGAAACAATTCTGCGAGCCGCAATTACAACAAACAAACAAGTGAGCAGAACTGGGCTAATTACAGTGCCGAACAAAATCGAATGGGGCAGGCAGGAAGCACCATCTCCAACTCCCACGCACAGCCTTTTGACTTCACTGATGACAACCAGAATTCCAAAAAACTGGCTGCTGGCTACGAACCGCAGCCACTAGCCCTTGTGGACCAGCGGCCTTCCAGCAGAGCCAGCAGTCGCGCCAGCAGCCGACCTCGGCCGGATGACCTGGAGATCTAGATCAGGCGGCCGAGAATCAAGAATCCACTCAGTCGTGGAGAAGAAAAAGGTGCTGTAGAAAGTGCACCTTAGGTGTTCATTTTGTTCCAGTGAAGTTGGTACTCAACAGCCTTCATCATGAGCCTTAGAAAACACAAACATATTAGGATACCTGGGTTCATTTGGGATAGGCGGGTGGAGAGGGAGGGGATCAGGGAGGTACATGTTGGTATTTACTGTAGTTGGTTCAAAGAACTTAAGTTCTAAATAAAAGTTGTTGCATTAGGTGATACATAGGTAAGGGCTTTTTCTCTTCCTACCCCCCTGGACTGATGCCATGGCCCTAAGAATATGTCTGCATATGTGAAAAGAGTGGGTGATGTTTTGGCTAAACACTTTTTTTGTCTTACCAAGAAACTGAAATGACTTTTTCCAAGGAAAAACACTTTTTGAATATCTTATTTTTTTAATCAGGAAAAAGAGGATTGTTCTTAGGTCCCTGCTAAAACATTCCATTTTTAAAATTTGCACTTGAAGGTGAGCTTTCTAGGCCTGACCCTCCAGGTGTCAGCAGACTTGCGCTATTGTATTTCTTGTTCTTGGTATCAGTTAAAAGTCCAGACAAGGCCCGCGGGAAGAGGCTTTCCACGAGTTGGCAAATCTCGGCCATGTTACATGTACATTCTTTTTTACATCCACTCACATAATATTGACATCACTTTTTCATCATTCCTCAACCATTCACATTCATTTAATGATATCCGTAAACATTTTTAAAACAGTTGGGATATCACTTAATATTTTGGAGTTGAGTCAGGGAAATAAGCCATGTTCAATATTTAATAATCACTTGTATGTGTATGTGTGTGGAAGAGTGTGTTTTATTTGTCATGTATTGGTACAAACAGATACAGTATAAACTCACAAACACCGATTTGAAAATAATGTACCCACAGTGTTCAAATTTGAATCTTTCTCATGGATTTTGTGGTGTGGGCCAATGATGGTGTTTACATTATATAATTCCTGCTGTGCAAGCAAAGCACATTTTTTCCTAAAATGTTTTTTTCCCTGTGTATCCTATTATGGATACTGGTTTTGTTAATTATGATTCTTTTCCCCTTTTTTTTTCTCTTTTTTTTAGAATATAGCAGTGATGCTATTGCTGAAATGAATGATTTTCTTTTTCTGAAATGTAATCATTGATGCTTGAATAATAGAATTTAGTACTGTAAACAGGCTTTAGTAATTAATTTGAAAGACTTAGAAAAAATGCTTAGAGTCCACTATTAAGTGTGTGTAAATGAATTTTGCAGTAACTGGTATTCTTGGTTTTGTCCTACTTCGTGCACATTAATTCAGAGCAAAGGAGGTTCAGTAGTACACGTGTAACTAATTTATTTGAAATTTATCTTAAAGAAATCTTCCAGTTTCTTCAAATGACCTTTAAAAACTCATCACAGATGATTAGGAAAATGTACAGCATTGTACCTTTCTTGCATGTCATCTACATATTAAATAGTTTTGTACAATGAGATACTAATTTGTTTGACATTCCATTTTAAACTACTGTCATGTTCAACTTCATTGCATGTAACACAGACCTAGTCCATTGGATCATGTGTTCTGGAGAGTGTTTCTTATTCAATAAAGTTTTAATTTAGTGTAAAGATAGCCTCTATATCCTTTGTGATTTCTAAAACTTATACATCGATTTACACTCATCAAAGAATTCCCATTGTTTAGGAGAACTTGGACAAATAAAAGTCACAAGATTCAGGAACCTTTGAAAGGACTATCTTGTTAGAGCAACCTTGTTAAGGATAACATTGAGGAATTTAGTAGGTGTACACCTGACCAAAGTAAGCATAAAGAAGACAAGTAGGCTGAAGTTTTACACTAAAATCTAGAGCTAAAAGCATAAGGCCATGGTTGGTCTTATTCTTAAGACCAACCTGAGTATGGTTATGCTCTGTGATGAAAGAAATAGATCTATGATTCTATTACTTCAAGACATTGAAAATACAGAAAATAAGATTAAAAAAATTTTAACACTCAAGGAAAATCAAACCATTTAGATAGGAGAACAATTCTGGACAATTGATAATAATGTAATTATAAATATTAAGTATTTACAATTATTACTTAATACTACTTTTAATACTTAAATATTAAGTATTTTAAGCTTATTAAAATTATTTGCCTAAATATTTTGTTAGCACAAAGCTAACTAATAGATTGTTGGAACATAAAAATACTACTTTAGAAATAGTCCAATTTAATTGCTTTTTTTCTATTTTTAATGAGCAACAGTTATAAGATTTTTCTAAAATCAAAGGGTTATCTAAGAAACTGTTTCTCACTCATAATTAGTAGTGGCAACAATTCAAGTATCATTGGAGTGGCCGAGAATCCAATGAGAGAAGCTGGTTTTCTCTGCCTGGTGTGTTTGCATTTAATATGGGGAATGGAGAAATGGATGATGGGAGTGTGTGTATCCTACACAGACAGGCTTTATTTATCTTTAGAGGGGAAGGGAAAGAGAAGGAGAAAAACATCAATGCATGGTTGCCTCTCGTGGGCCCCCCACTGGGAACTGGCCTGCACCCCAGGCATGTGCCCTGACTGGGAATTGAACCGTGATTCTTTGGTTCACAGGCCCATGGGCCTGCGCTCGATCTACTGAGCTACACCAGTCAGGGCTCAAAGTGCCTTTCCGATGGTTGTGTGGGCATGCGAGGGCAAGCTAAATCTTTGAGATATAGTCATACACCATTGCAAACACTTCCCAACTTTGAAGATTTTCACTGTTCTTAAAAAAGTATTTATGCATGTTACAAATCTGCAGTTTGAAACTGTAGAAGTAAATGAAATCAAACCTCCCACTTCTCTCCATTTTCTAACATACACATCTGAGAAGTTCTAATTCTAAAAAGAAATTACTGTTGAAAGTTGCAAACGCCACTCTTCAAGCAGACATTTTGTTAAGTAGCAGCTCTTAGAAGGACCACCCAGTCCCTGCCCTGTGAAGCCGATGATGTGCAGTCAGAAGTTTTCACAGTGATGTTCCAGTCCTCATTTTTCTTATCTTAATTGGCTGCCTGCTTTCCACAACTAAATATTAAGAGAAAACTGCAGTTTCATTTCAAAAATATTTATTACTCATTTTTTTGCATAAAATTTTATGTTTAAAAACTGGAAATGTTTGAATCTTGCAGAAGTAGAACTCTGTGGTGGTGAGCTTGTTTTATGTTCACCATGGCAGCCACCAGTCACATATGTCTACTGAGCATTTGAAATGTGACCAGTGAGTCTGAAAAAAGTAAATGAATTAATTTAATTTTATTTAAATAGCACATGTGATTAGTGGATATCACATTGGGCAGTGAATTCTAGAGTCTGCTAGGGGGAAAAAGTTTAATATTTGGTGGAAATTGAGGAGACAATAGTCATGTTAGAAACAGGGATAGGGAAGATAAATGTCATTTTTTTATAATTATAAATAACAGTATTTCTTACTTTGTAAACAACAGGAAACATTTTAAGAAAAGCTTTTGCTTTTATATAAAATTCCCTAGTCTTTTGTTAGATAATCATATGTTTTATATTACCATTGTTTTACTTCAGAATTTTAAACACAAACTTATACTGCCTATTTTAAAAAGTGGTAGGATTGTCTAATGTCTTCAATATTGAGAAGTCCAGTGCCCTCATTTGGTTCAGTGCATTAGCATCCTAGCTCTCCCGGGCCTTTATTAAGCTTCCAGCCCACGGGCTGTTCTTTTACCTTATTTTGAGAAAATCGCTGAACCTCAACCTGCCCACTATACTAGTTCCCTGCCCACTCACAGCCTTTCCTAACAATTCCAACCTTCAAATTCCAAGATGCCAGAACATCCATGTTTTATGCTTGGAGGGAAAGCAAAATAATGAAGCCTGGGGGCTTATTAAAGTTTTTAAAGTGAGTTATTTTTATAAACAGCACACCAACAGCAAGGAAATATGTTTAAAATCTTTACTGGCTCCAAGATTCTGTTTTTACCTTTTCTTGGTTGGGCAAATATAGCTGAGCCCTTGGCATGTCAGAATTTGCAGCTGGCAATTTTCAGAACTCAAGAGCAGACGTGGAACAGACACCATAGAAACGATGCTTCAAGAAGAATAGAGTAAGAAGAGTATCCTGTAAAGATACTCTTCTTACTGAAAAAACAATTACATTTGTCTCTTGGTCTTCAAAAATGTTAAAATTTTAAGTCAGACGATTTCTTCTGGGCTCCGGATGTTTCTTTCCAACAACCCAGTGCTTATTTGAGCTATGACGTGCAGAGTAATTTCAGTGCCCACACACTTTCCTGTTAAAAGTAAAAACTGTCTCAAGAGGCACCCACTTTAGAAAGCAAACCCTGGGCCCAAGTCTTCCTTAGCGCAATGAGCTGCCTGCTGCTCTGCAATATGGAACGAGATAGAGCCTGGCTGCAACCTCCTATCAGCTGATCACTTTTCACACAACCGTGCATCTGAATTAGTATGGACAGCAAGATAGTGTTCAGTTGCTTTGGCAGAAGAAGCCATGAGCGTTATTTTATTTTAATAGTACATAAAGAGAAGTGTAAGACTGCCTCCTGCTTGGAAAAGCTTGATTCAGAGTTAAATAGTTCATAGATTTAGGTGCATTTATTAATTCTGAACACCATTCCTTAATTTAGAAGCCCTTCCCTTTGAAAATTTAAAGTCACCTTAAGCCTAAACTGTGAGAAATGGCTACTATTGAGGTGAACTCTAAGGTCTCTAGATGATAAATGGTAAAAGGTGAGATTCATGAAAACACAACTGGAGAACTAAAGAAAATGTTTGTTCTGAGACAACTTTCTTCTCTATTTTGCGCAAGGTGGTCAGTGACTGCCTTGTTTGTGGGCAGGTAATTTAAAAATAGTTGGGGAAGCCATCTTACATTCATGAATTTCAGATTTCAGTGAGACTGAAGTAACTTGGAAATGAAATATAAATATAACCAGCATCCCATCATCTATAATCAGTGTAAAAGTTATTTTCTGTATATTTAAAATAGCTTATAACTTATAATTCTATAATTCATAACTTAAAAATAAAAATGACAGCAGATACAATATTATAATGTGATTGAGGTTATTCCTTTCAGTTTAGAACTTTAAATCATATTTCTTCTCCATTTTCACATTCTTGGTTTCTTTGGTCTAACCCCTCACCAGAATTTTCTGATTTGCAATAGCTTTAAATGTGTGTGTGTGTGTGTGTGTGTGTGTGTTGTGTGTGTGTGTATTTTTTCTCTCAGGTTTTGTTCACAGCTGAAGTTTCAATTCTATCATTTGTTTCCTACTCTGAATCTGCAATTCAAATTAAAATGTATTAAATGATAGAAAGCTTCCATCAAATTCCTTTTCTTCTTTTTCACACATATTTAGAATAGCTTTGTTGTTAGATTTTGTTGTTAACTTGTGCTATCAAACGCCCTTTGTCATATTCTTACACCTTGCTCCCCTAAATATTTACTTTATAACAAATAAGTGCAAGTTAAACATTTCAGTAGTAACTCTGGAATACTCTAGCAGATGTTTAACATTTATAATCAGTGGGAACCATCAAAAGTTCAATTGCTTTTCATCTTCACTCCAGCCTTCACTTGCTGGAGGACTTGCTGCACTGGGTAATTAAAGGTTGGGAGAACTGTCGGGACGGTTCTCTCAGACTGCAAAGGGCCAGATGTGGGAGCCAGGGTGCTAGTGGGCATTTGACCACGTTTAGTCAGCATTATAACCAAGCACCCCCTCTAAACTGATAATTCTATGTGAAAATCAGCTATTAGCTATGAAAGAAAACAACAGCTAAAGAAGCTATAATGTCTTGCAAGTTATACTAGATAAGGGAAGAATTTCACCATGGAAATCTGTTCATGTAAAAGTATTCGAACTTTGTAAGGAAAAGGAAAAAGAGTACTTCCAATAGGAAAAAAGTACAATTAGCAGGTTAACAAAGGGATTTGCAGGTTTCATTTGTTCATCAGCAGTACCATAGCTTTGGAAGTAAATTATTAAAACAAAAATATATATATCACTCTTTTAATTTGTTGTGGATGGGTCTACCACAGGGCTGAGCTCATAGTTTGTGATAACAAAGATAAACTGATCATTGGTTTAGTCATTTAGACAGGGTTTTCTTTTTTATTTAATACACATATTTTTATAACAATTTTCTCAATTCGTGGCTAAATGCAGGATAACCTTTAAAAATGCAGACCCTGTTTTTAAAAGCCATATAACATTAAGGCTAAAAATGTTTTCAAGAATTAGAAACATGTATACCTTAATATTTTCCCCAAATCCCAGGACTTCTGGGGAATTTCATTTCCAATATTTGTAGGACAGAAACTCTGTTGCCTCTTGGAAAGTATTCAGCAAATTTGGATAGTCAATGAAAATGTGCTGTGTGGTGAAACTCTATGCCAAGCAACAATTACGTAAATAGTATTAGGTGAGAAATTTGCAAGAAAAAAGTGTCTGAAAAATTCTTGCCACGTTAAATAAAATGTGGTCTTGTGTTCACTCTCGCACATTTTTAAAAGATGGTGCTTTAACAAGTCTTGTGTCCTTTCTTGTTATTTTTAGTATCTCCCCAACTATAAATACAACCATAT